TGAATAATTTTGGAAAAATTTAGCATTATAGAGGGCCCATTTACTAATCAGCATCCAACATTAATCATATAGTTACTGGGTGCTCGGGTTAACTTATCTCGAATGGCATGAACTTGTGCCAGATGAGGTGTGCCCTTGGGGGAAAGCTTGATTTGGCTACCTTTTTGTATGTATGTTGTTGATGATCGCAGGTTGAGAATTCGACCAAACCGCAAGGGCACACTATTGATTCTGTCTCAAGTTTTTGTACTCCCAAGTGCGTCGTTGCGATTTCATGTTTTGGCTTCACTACATTGTGGCTAGGGCTTTTTCAACAGTCGTTGCGAAACGGTGTCCCCAAACAGTTTTGTGTCTAGGAGTCGAGTGCAGACGATCATTGCTTGGTCACTTCATACTGTGTGTTTGTTTGTTTGTTTTGGTGACTGGTGCTTGGAATGCAACCAGCCTAAGTTGCGCTTCCCAACCAATGTTGGGGCAGAAAGAGGGCAGGCCTCATTTGCCTTATGCATTTGTTTCTACATACTGGGTGCCTGTGTTTACCCCTATCGTGGTCAAGATCTCGCATCGAAGCCGGTGTGCCATTGGGGGGGGCCATCAAAGCAGTGCAACCTAGAAGAGATGAGAAACATACTTCTCCATCTTATTGATGCCAGATCTGCGTGGCACACTGGCTTTGACGCGTTCACACTGCAATGTCTGTGAAACCAGTATACCATTTGGGTAAGCTATCGAATAGCTATGAATTTGAACTTGTTTCTAGAGGTTTCTTTTGGCAACCCATATAGTTGAAGCCTTTTCGAGAAGGCCCCATCTCCATCAAAGCGGATGAGCGAGGAGCAGTCTGATTAAAAGTCGTTGCGAAGCGGTGTCCCCATACAGTTTCGTGTCTAGGGTGGAGGCGTTTGGTGTTTGGTAATCTATGGTAATCAATACATGTCGGGCTTGCTGCTGTTGGTTTGCAGCTGGTTGGCTGCTACTGGTTCGCTGCTGCTGCCGTTCTGCTGCTGGTTTTCTGCTGCTGGTGGTGCTGCCTTGCTGCTGCTGGTTGGCTACTGCTGCTGCTGGCGGTTGGCTGCTGTTGGCTTGCTGCTGGTTGGCGGCTGCAGCTGCTGCTAGCTGCTGCTGCTGGCTAATTGCTGCCGGTACTGCTGCTTGCTGCTTGTCGCTGCCGCTGCTGCTGCTGCGGCCTTGTCTATCAGTTGCTGCTTGTCATTGTCTTGCATATTATAGCAGGTTTCTTCCATTGCAGGCTGGGTATTGGAAACATGGTTTCAAGCTTGGTGGCAGGCCTGTTTGGTGAAACGCGGTGCCCCATGCGGAAACAAGTATCGCAAGGATGTTGCCGTGACTTAGTCGTAAGGACTTTTTTGTTTGGGTGTTGGTGGGCATGGGTCTTCTGGGCAAACGTGTTCATCTCGCCCAATACCTCGCCCACACCTCGCCCTCTATCTCGCCCAGCCCACCAGGCACCAGGACCCCCAGAGGTGTGCCATGGGGATTACCATTGTCACAACACATATGTGTAAGCAAAGGCCTCTTCAATTTACATTGGCCCCCGAGGCAAGGAGCGATTTGCAGGTTCATGTTTTCAAGCGTTCATGTTCACATTTTTCGCAGGTGTGCCATGCGGAAGTGTGTCCTGCACAGTCGTTGAAAGATAGGAACGCGCACGCGCGCACAGACACCAAAGAAGGCAAAACGCAAGCTAACCATGGGCTTTGTCGTGGTCTGAGCATACTTCTGGCAGAGATCAGAAGCCGGTGTGCCATGGGGACAATGTGGGATTTGCTCCTGTGACGTGGAATTAGTGAAAACGGTGTGCCATGGGATGATGTGGTTTCTAGCCTGCTGGTTTGCTGCTGGTTGGGTGCTGCTGCTGCTCCTGCTGCTGCTGCGCTGCGCTGTTTTGCTGCTGCTGGTTGGCTGCTGCCATTTTGCTGGCGCTGGTTGGCTACTACTGGGCTTGGAAAGCATGGTTTTGGCTTAGATGGCCTGTTTGGTAAACGCGGTGTCCCATGCGGAAATGAAAGGACTCTGCCGTGACTTAGTCGTGGTGTGGTGTCACAGTGTGACTTGCTTGCCGCAACTGCTTTGCAAGGACTTTCGCGTCTGGGCGGTTACCCTCGATAGGAGCTTCAAGGTGGTGCGAACATGTGGGTCAGAATCGGTGTGCCATGGGGGTTGGATCATGGCAGCCCAAAGGACACCTTAGAACCCATCAACATGTAGAAGATTGAATCGCAATGGAATGGTGTAGGTTTAGAAACAATCTAGGCTAGGAGAACAAGCGCTTGTTCCGAAGCGGTGTGCCATGGGGATTGGGAGAGGAAAACACGCAAGAATGAATAGATATGTTTGACGTTTACAGAACAATTCCATGCTGTTAGCACTCTATGTAGAAACTTAAAGCTGGTACCAACGTGGGTCAGAATCGGTGTGCCATGGAGATTAGATCACGGCAGCCCACAGAAAACCTTAGAAAACATCAACATGTAGAAGATTGAATCGCAATGGAGTAGTGTAGGTTTAGAAACAACCTAGGAGAAAAAGTGCTTGTTTGGAAGCGGTGTGCCATTGTGTTTTCCAAATGGGGTAAGTTCTTACATTCGTGGGGTAAGCGGTGTGCCATGGGGGTGGGTCAAGTTCATGTGCGATGGGGTAAGTTACCACATCAGGTCGTACTACAAGTTGGTTTTGTATGAAATAATGTAGGTATTCCATGTATATATGTTGCTTGCAATATATAAATATAACAACATAATATGTATTTACATGTCATGTGTTATTCCATGCCATATATACTTGTTACAGTCCGGCGGACCAACTACCACAGTTTGACCAGTCCATCCGTCCGAGCCACAGTTCCGGCCGTAGGCTGCGGGGCGCCGGCCATGTGTCCTTCCATTCTGCTATGTGACTTTGTGTGGTCCTACATGAGCCGACTTCTAAAGACCAACGTTGGCGACATACATTGACCATTCCCTCGCCAAAGGAAAGACCCTGATCTGACTAACATGGACCCTGTTAGGCCCTGACAATTGCTCGAAAACACCATTTCCTCTACAACTCGCAAGGTTTTGGGATCCAGATTCATTTGCCAGGGAGCTCAGGAACAACATGAAACACTCATGTCTCTTTTCGATTCGGCCACCCACCTTCCCAGCGTGTCAGGCGCAGGAGCGTTGTGGAGAGTTTCAAGTTGGGCAGCCCTAGTTTGAGGGTGGAACGAGAAGCGCTTGGAACGGGCGGCTCCTGCTTGGCCAAGCCAGGCATTGGCATAAACCCCAGTTTCATTCCACAGGTGACCATCACAGAGAAAGATAGCAGGGTTTAAATCAGGACCATACTTTCAGAGGAGAGTCATTTTACTATATCTTAACTACTAAACCCACACCCTCAAAACGATATCAGTGTTTGCTCAAAACAGGGGGTCCTACGGTGAGTTCAGGAACCTATAATCCAGACATCCAAGGACCTCCTGATGTGTTTGGAGGCTGCAAGTACCTTCTGAGAAAAAAACTTTTGGAGTCCTATAGGGAATGTGTGTTCTGAAAGCTTGGGACGCTACCAGGGACCTGAAAACTCGGGAAACGCATGGCCACATGGCTCGACCGACCTCTCATCCCTCTTGAAGCGTGCCGCTTGGTGCGCAGGTGGGGTGAACGGCAGGTGGGGCATAACAAATTCGTGTTTGGCAATGACCTGCGCTGGCAGAAGGTGTGGAAAGACTCCTTGCACTGCACTTCTTATTTGGTGCCGACGCTGGAAGAACATGGAAGAACCGAAACATGGAAGAACTCACCAGCCGAACCGAACCCGGACCTTCCCCCACTGACCGTCCTTGAGATCCGTTCGGCGGTCGAAGGTCACATGGCCCACGCCGAGCCAAGTTCCAGTCCCCCGCCAACAGAGGTATGTTCCACCCTCTAAGGATCTGTAGTAGGCTTATATTTGGAGTCGTGTTGCAGTGTTGATGAACAACATTGAACAACCCCTCGTACCAGAATGGATTTTACCTCTCGATCCATATTATGTAATCAACGCCGGCACCTTCAAAGGGGTCACCAATGGAAGACCCAACACGACTATTATGGATCTCGATTGGGCATATTGGGCACCCCGACAGGGAGGTCCAGGTAAACATATATTTATGGTTTTGCTTTTTAATAGTCGACATTCCGGTGCTGCTCGCATCTCCTCATCCTTAGAAACCTCGCCCAAAAGCTTGGCTGCAAGGTCCAGAACCTGGCAAACAGCGCCTGGGCATTGGCCTGGGCACCTGGTTCACGGGGCCACGTGGTCAGGGAATAATGGAATTGCTCAAGGAGACCCAGCGAATGGGCTATCTTAGAAGAACCAAGAGAGGTTAAGAGACCTTATGGCACCTCTTCTTGGGCTATCTAGACATATCTCGACCACAGGTCTGCGCAACCTCTTTATAGGGAGCGGCAGTACCAGGAGCTTGCACGGTTTTGGTCTCGTCGATGTTGACCCTCGCAGCCACTGGGCAACTCTTACGCAGATTGGAAGTGTATGTCCTCGTCGCAGCGAAAACGGTTGGTCGTTGGCAGCGAAAAGTTCGACGTGGTGGGAAAACAGTGACGGATTAAGCTACGGGGAGCCACGTTTCCGAGCCGGTCAAGGGATCACCTGAAACATCTGATTTCGCCTTGTGGGGCCTTGGGGACGCCCCGCTTCCAAACATACTGAGGGAGCCAGATCATTTCACGTACCGGACGGTTGGGCCAAGGATCTCGGACGGTGCTTACAGTGTTGGGCCAAGTTGTACGCTGTTGATCCCTGTTGGGCGAGGGGTGGCATCGAATCGTGTCGTCCCACTGCCCTGGACGGCCCGCAGCCCAGGCCAACATGGATCATTTGCACCGGCCATGTATGGACGGGTTGATGGTGGGACAGGGAAGTTTGTGAACCCAACATGCGAAGAAACCATTTTTGATTCCTGTGCTGGGGTTGTTCTACTGGAGGAAAAGGTCAGAGTCATTTCCCCAAGTGAGAAAGTAACTAAGCCGCATGCGGATCCAGGTGCCATTGTATTTCGATTGTTGGTATAGACTTTTGACATCCATTTCCACTACATGTTTGCAGGGATGAATTAAATACGTGTGTAGCCTCTTAAAGGCTACCTCTCTGTGAAATGTTGAGAACTATGTTGTAAACCACGTTGTAAACATGTGTGTGTTTATATAAGATGTATAAATCCATGTTAGAGAAAAAGTAATATATAGTAAACATATTGATAGTGATAATAATACTAATTAGTAATACTTTAACATTGTCATGTAATAGTTTTAATACCAGTAATATCATTAGTAATCATATTAATAATATTAGCATTAATATCAAAAATATTAATAACATTGTCATTGTAATAGCAATTCATTAAGAGTGTGCCTTAGCTATATGCATATAGATTATTCAACTACTGTAGCACTCTGTCAGGATATGGATTCTCTATTCCTCCTGCCCATAGCAATCAAGGAGCGGAGTTGGCTGTTTAACTTATAGTTGAACTAAGTTGGACGACTCTAGACAATCGAGTTTCCATTAGGTCCCTTTATGGGATAAATTTCATGTCTTAGTCCTCAAATTCATGTTTGTATGTGCTTTTCGTGTGTTTGACAGACAATGGCAAGATTTGGCAGTGCAACATTTTGGAAAACAGGCTTTGTCAATCTGCCACGATGATGCACATTGTGGCCCAAAGATGGTCAAAACACGATTACATGACGGTTCAAGTCGAGCACTCATTGATAAGTTGATAAGAAACTGGTTGCAATCAGGCTGGCATTATCTCCACGGAAGAAGTGGTCTATTTTTCTGAGAAATGAATACGCATAAACTCACCAATCTTGTCATGTCTCCGAACAATCCCTTGTGCCCTTTTATTTGGGTTGAGATAGCATGGCTTCCTTCTTCTCTGGGCTGATCGAGCGACGGGCCATCACTGAAGCGAAGCTTGGCTTTTGGCATGTTGACCGAGGAAACCAAGGTGGATGTTTAAGTTACAATGTGTTTCCTTACACACCTTAGCTGCAGCGTGGCTTTAGGACACAAGACCCTTCTCCACACCGGGAACCAGCTCACTGTATTTCCAAGTGGGTGGAGTGACAAGCACTTTGATTGCTCCACTCCCTTGCTTTCATAGTAGTGTTGTTTCCGTCTTTTATAGCAGACATGTTGTTCGGTTTCCGCTTCTCACCGCCTTCCAATGACATGGTGACCTCACGTGACACCCAAGGTTGAAGCTGGCTGGACTCGGACGACTTCCTGAAGAACTGCCGCTTCTTTGCTGCATCGTCGCTCTAGGTGTGTATGTGCGGGGTGGGCTGCACGACTGCTTCCTTGCAGCCGTTACGCCCAATGTCCGTGAGTCATGAGTGACCCATCATTAAACCAGCTGGTGTTGGGCAGGTTCCATGGCCCTGACAAGAAACTCTAAGTGTGGGATTTCAATGAGTGAAGAACCCGAAAGTGCCTTCGGGAACCTGTGGCTCTGCGGCTTAGTCCTGGTCATCATTGGGGCAATCTGTGTGGGCAAAGCAGTGGCTTCATCATGTCATTGCTGCCTTAGAAGATTGCGTGCGATAACCAGCAGGCCATTGGAGCAGCAGGAGCCATATGAAGCCGAGGAGTTGGTTCGAGCTGCGTCCTTGCGGCTGAGGAGAGCACGCGGCCACAGATCTCTGACCAGGCCATCTGATGAGGACTCCGGATCAACGGAGAGTGAAACAGGAGAATCCACAAGAGATGATGAACGATCGCGTGACAAGGGGACAGAACTTGTGGCTGACGGCATGACAAAGCCGTTGGCGGGTCAGAGTTTTACTGGCTTCATCCACGACCTGGGCCTCAAGAAGGGTGAAATTCAGGTGAAGAGCTTGGTGTTGGGTCAAGGAGTTCCTCAACAACCTGAACATAGTGCTGCGCAGTCCATGGAGCCATTGACGATGCCGCAGGCCAAGATTTCTAATGTTCATCCACCCCAATTTCATTTCTTTGTCTTCGCCATTGTCCCCATTGACCCAAAATCATGGGACGATGTGTTCCAAAGATGTGTTGTGCTTGCAACAGGAAGAAAAACCCTTCACTCCGGTGCTGGGATTCTTTGCTTGTGTGCTGTGAGGTTCCATGAGATGCCTTTCATTATGTGAAATTTGCAAAGGATCTCCTGAGTTCTGCCAAGCAAGAGATGTGATTGAAGAAGGATGACACGACAATGGACGCAGTGAAGGCTATCCATCGCAAGCATCGCGAGCGCAAAGGGCTTGAAGCTGATGACTGCGAAGCCCGCGGAGGACCAGGATTGGGACACAGAAGCAATGTTGGTTCCTGAACATGTGCCAGTGGCAGCTCTTTTGCTTGACCTTGGACGGCCTGCAGTCCGAGGTTGACAAGCTGGCCGAATCACCAAGCTTAAGGAATTGGTGGCAAAGATGTCCCGGTGTGAGAGTGTGGCCGCAGCTTTGAGCACCCACTTGATCGAGGATGATGCGTGTGAGAAAGTGAAGGATGTGTGCAAGGCATACCTTGGCAAGTTTGAGTCTATGGTGCTTGCGGCTCTTGACTCAGTCGAGTCTTCTCATGTCTCAGGTCTCAAAGCCTTCAGCAAAAAGTACGAGAAAGTCATGACTGCTTGCGAGAACTACTCTGTGGAAGCCATGCGCCCGTTTGCTTCCATGTTGAACGTGGTTGATGAGCAGCTTGGGAAGCTGAACGATGTCATGAGTGAGATGGCTTCTGACTTGCTTGCGCAGAATAACTTCACCTCCCGCCGGTCAAGTGACCAAAGGGTCCGTGGCATGATGCAAAAGCCCAAGAGCTGAGGGATCGAGGCACTACAGTCTTGATTGTTGCCTGGAAGGTTGCAGCAACTACGCTGTGTGCCGGCTACATTGTCCAGGTCCAGAAGGATGACGAAGGGATCTGCTCGCCAAGCGATCTTGTGAAGTATATCAAGACGACGTACAAATTCAACGTGGACCAGCTACCACAGAAGTTGCGCGACACGATCCTTGGGGTTTTGGATGAAGAGAAGGTTGCACCAAACCGCGGTGCAAACGCCAAGTCGAAGGCCGTGAAGGTCAAGAAAGAAAAGAAGGAGAAAGACAATGTGCACTCAAAGACAAAGCCAAGAAGAAGTGATGATGTGGTCACAGACTCCGGCCGAAACCTAGCGGGCTTGTGGTGCGCACGCTGTGAAAAAGTGCTGAGGGTGTGCCGCGTTTTGCGCGAATTGTGCTGCGCATGTCCTCATCACTCATCATAACCATGTGTTTGCCACTTCTGCCTTTCAACTTAATATAATTCTTTATGAGGCGTCTGCTTGGTTTTTCTTTTATAGACTACTATACATTTAATTACTGTCATGTCATTCTTCGTCAAGTCGCATTTCGTAATTGGCATTAACGATGTTCCCCATGGATTCGTGCATAGTATTGTTGTTTTTAGTTACAGTGAAGGAATTTTGATCTTAGTTTAGGCTGATGTGGGACTATTGTTTTGGATTTTTAGATTAATATATGAATTCCCACATGCTTACTTTAGCATATCGGTATTTCCGTGATTTTCCTTAATGACTCACAGTCTACTATCAAAACTGTCCAACATAACGTAGCATAGAGAGGCTATAAACACTATTAAGGGATTTTCTCTCTATATATATATATATAGTTAATGTGGCCTAGTCCTCCAGTTACGTCACCACTCTTGGTATGCAACCACTTTCTCCTGCAACCATTTTATGCTGGACATGTTGGGGGGGTTCATTGCTCATGTTTCAGCAGTCGCCTGTCCAGCTACCACCGATGACGATGTCGACATCCCGATGGTCAGATGCTCCCACCACATGTCGAGGAGGTCTTGGCTGTGAGCTGCTTGGAACGGATCTCGGACATGAACCCACAGGAGGGGAACGCGCAAGTAAGAGCGGATGCAAAGGCAGAGGTTGATGCGAAGGGTTCCGGTTTTCGGGCAAGTTGCAGGATGTTGCACGAAACCTTTGGAAGGTGTCCAGAGGGAGAACCTTATGGTGGATTCCACAGAATTGCCATGCGTTGAATTTCTTTGGGGGTGTGAACAGTGTGAACCGCGTGGGTTTGGACAATCGATAGGAATTGGAATTGGAGGCATTTGGATCGATAGGGGGGGGCCCTTTCTTGAATTCATGCACAGGTTCCTTTAAAAAAAAAAATATATATATATATAAATACATATATATATATATATACGTTTGAATCTTCTTCTGGAATAGTTCTTCATGTTCAGGCCTTGGACGCAGAAAACGGCCTTAAATTCTCGCACGCATAGACCAGTCCGCATTGTGGCAGGCTTTGGCCAACATTGCATGGGCATGGGTTGCTTGGCAGACTTGGTTTTTCAAATTTGATCTTCATCGCATCAATAAAACCATAAAACCGTACTCAAAACCGTTTGGCCGTGCACCTTCTCAGGTTCTCGGGCAACTGGGGGAATATAGGCCCACTCAGCCAGGTTCCCAAAACTCCCACATCATCTCACATGGAATTCTATTTTGTATGAAAATTTGGGGCACGAGAGGGAGGTTATTGCTGAGCTGACCAACCGATCGGCTCACAGTTCAGCAAGTGGACCGATTCCCAAATCATAGACCCGACGGCGGTGTGTGATTCTTGTCCTACGCTCAGACACCAGTTGATACAGAGATGATCAGCCCAGCAAGTATTCAAATCATATTCTGTCGCATGGCGAGCTACTGTATTCTTACTCTGACCCGTCAAACTCTGCACCGAAAAGCCATGCCTCGAAGCAAGTGGGCATGGATTTGTCTCCCACCTTCGGCTGGTCTCCGAGGGTGCCAGGTAGCTCTCGGCCTGCATAGGCAAGAGTGGGCGAGAGAGCTTGAAGAAAAATTTTAGACTATCCCATCCTAGAGGCTCCAAGTACACCTTCTAAGAAGTTGGTTGTGGTGGGTGCTAGGAGGGTCCAAACAGGAGGCAGTTGGAACCCTACCACAGGCAGAGGTACCTATGAGCGGGGTCCTTTCAGTTCACGCCAAAACCTCTCTTGGGTACGCTGGGATCTTCAAAAAGGGACACGAGCGAATCCAGTTGGATCCAACTAGTCGGTGACACGTCCCACGACGCGCTGGGACACAGGGAGGGGCGAAAAGGGGGGGCTCCTTTATAAACCCTTCCGCCGATTCGCAAGGCTCGTTTGGTCTTGATGAAGCCGGCCTTGCTGGAAGCCATCGCATGTGAAGCGGCCTGGGGGCCCGACAACTGAGCGGCCCGGGGATCGTGGAGAAGCGGTCGACGAGGGGATCGCTCGATGTCCTGGACGTCCACATACGGTGGACGCTCCCAGCTTGTGGGAGGGTTGGCCTGCGAGGCTTGTGACTGACCGGCTTGCACTTGCAGGGAAGCACGCGCTTGTATTGTGATGTCCTTCAACCTTGAGTCCAGCCTCAAGTCGTTCCAGAGGAAAAGAAACACTAGAGCCAGCCAGTTGTTTTGGAGGCTTGTTTGATCGCAAGAGCCACCATATTGCGTGTGCAACACTGACACTGACCTGCCACATTAGGCAAGCACATGGTCAGCTCTTTAATTACCATGTTTCGGCGCGAGAGGAACTAGTAACTATAACTACGATGGTGAAGCTTATCGCAAGGTGCCAAAATGGCGTGGTGTGCCCCCGCCTGGCACATTGGCTTGTATTTACATATGTCCGTATCAGGGCCCCCCATGGACGCGCCTTGAAGGGGCCATTATTGGACACGTCATAGGGAATCCTGGGAATTGCAACTCCAGGACTTCAGGGTGATCCGGTGGGGTGCTGGGATCCGATGGCTAGGCATTGAAGATGGCGGAGTTTCAGAGCCTTGGGCCCCAGACTGACTAACTGCCACCATGACTGACTCCATTTGGAGCACCATCGAAGCAGAAGGGCATCAGTTTCAATACAAAGCTTGTTAGATTCAGATTCATACCCAAAGGTTGCGCAATGTATTTGGGAATCTTCTACAGCCTTGGGGCAGGTTTTGCTGTAGCTCGCTTTGTTTGATGTATTTGGTGGTAGGGGATGGTCCCACATATATATATATATAGGTCTGTCAGAGCTCACTGACTGTAGGGACTCCACTGGCTGTTGGGTCCCTTTACAGCTGGCTGTTGATGACAATGGGAGGGCTTGTTGCTGTGGAAAAACATATTTGAAACTTACGTAACGACCCGAATGTAGACTCTTGATCATCAAAATCCTGTCATTTGTATGTTCAAAAATCTTCACATGGGTGGTTTTATTGATCAAGAGTCTACACTGTTGTCTTGGCCTTGGTTTGTCGTTGATCGTTTAGGATTTCAGTGGGTCTTTCCAGGTATGAGCACCCAAGGCCCGAGAGTGGCATCAGTCCTCAAAAGACGGTATTGTATTATCTTCTCTGAAATTGAAGCCGGGAGCTGTAGAGTTTCGGTATGTTTGCGTGCTAGCTGTGCTTAGCTGTGTGAGGTATGTCCTTTTTCAACTGAGAGCCAGATCGGTCTTCAGACCCTCGGAATACGCTGCATACGCTCGGAACGATCGGATCGAAACCGGGCCCACGAACGACCATGGTCGCTTTAACGGGCCTGTGGGTGTGTTTGGACTAGGGGGGCCTTGATGGGAAGACACATCAACGACATCGACCTGTGTGAGCATAGCCTGGCCAGTGGCCAGGCTTCCCTTTTCAAGTGCAGTGGTTTCAGAGTGGTTTCAGAGTAGATAGATGGCACAATCCCCCCCGAAATGTGTTTATGATGAGGGTCCACCTAAACCTCCAAACTTGGGGAGTTCCAGATCCGATGCACTGGTCCAGGTCAGAACCTTTCGAACCTGGCCTGGTCAGTGGCCACCCTGGAGTACCGGTCGCTACTTGGAGGAGGAGTAGGGGGGGAAGTCGGCACAGGCTGGGGAGTAGCTAATGATAGAGGTCACCAGATCCAAGAGGGCTGAGCTGGATGAAATCTTGGGCTTCAGCATCAAAACCGACCGAAGTCAGAAGATGCTAGATGTGCCACCAGTCGCATACCTGGTTTTGCTTGGGGTGATGTTTAATTAGCCCTTTGAGTGAATCTCCCTCTAAAGGTGCTGTTCATCCCCAAACATTTATGAGAGTATAGTAGGTGATCATCTCCTTCCCAAGGTCGACGGAGAACCCCCCCCGCAGCAGGATTTGCCACTTAGTCCACCTGCTCAGACCCTACAAGACCCATCAACCAACATCCCATGGAGGTCCGGGATCACCGGCATCGCCCCGAAACTCCTCAAGGCCGGCCTTGATCCAAGCGATCGCTGCGGAGGCGCGTCGCAAGGCGGGATGCGCTGGGGTGATGTGCCGCGGCGATGTGGCGCGGGGAGGTGTGGGCGACAGGTGGGCGAAAAAGAGCCCGTAGGTGCTCCTGGTTTTGCTTAAGGTGAGGTCTATTTTCCTGGTGGGTGGATCCCTTCTAACTAGCCTTCTAGGGAATATTGTTCCCAACGCAATAAACCGTGCAAACTTCATAAGGGCCCACCATTTGTTAGCCTTACTATGTCTTATTGTTTTCCAAGTTAAGGGCTCACCATTTCTTAGTCTTACTATGTCTTATTGTGTTTCCAAGTGTATGTTTTTTGATCTAAAATATTAAGGAACTCATGCAGCATGCACAACAATAACAACAAGATGATTAACACATGGATGATCTGGTTCGTCGGCTGCCGGTCGCCGGTCGCCGACGGTCCCATTTTGGGCTGCTGGCTGGGTTTTTCGGGTTTTCTCCGCAGGGTGCCGGTTTTGGGTTCCCAAAGAAGGTCGCAAATGCCTGGATGAGCCAAAAGGGTTGTTTTTTAGGGGGTTTTGAAGAGGGTTCCAGAAGGGTTGCGGCATGGCGTCCAGCAGGTTTCTGGCAAGGTTCCGGAGGGTTCGCTAAAAATCCGCTGGGTTTGGCGCGTGTTGTGACAAGGTCGCCGGTTGGGTTCCGAAAGGTGTTCCAGAAAGCCTTAATTAGAAATCAACACATCAATCTTGGTTATACATACTTGGGATGATCGAAGGTCACAACAAGGCAGGGCCACGCCCACTTTGGAAAACAAGTATGCTTGCTGGCGTTCAAGATTTCTGCTTGCTATCATCTACGTATTTGGTTGCAGAATGGTTTTAGACTGTTTTAAGCCCAGCACTGCTTTTATTACCTTTTATACAACAATCATTCTCTTGGCTATATGCTGCTGATGTTCTTTGGCGCACTCCGCGTTTTGGATTTGTATTCTAAGTGAATCTCCGCCATTAATGTACGATTGCAGTGCTCAGCGGCATCAGCCATCCTTCAGAATAGACGGAACAAAAGCAAGATTCAACCTGTCAACATGGGCACTAAGAGTGACTACCATACCATGCAAGTGGAAAACAGTTCCTGACATTATGATGCCTCTGTTTGGAAGAATGGGAGGCTCCACTCCACTTCCACTTCCAGTCTTTTGCGCCCTTCCTGCGCCATCCACTCGACCCCCCCAAAAGAGGGCTCCAAGGACACCTGTGGAAAGCCCGTCGAATGAGCCCTTGAGGCGGGCGAATCAGCTTCAGTCGGCGCTGCACAGGTGGAACTCTTGCAGTGCCAAGACCTGGCAAACAGTGTCAGGAGCTCAGCTCGGACACAGCGGTGAGGAGCCGCAGGATCCGGCTCCTGAGATTTCCTTCAAGGTGACCAAAACTGAAAAGGAGAGAAAAGATCAGACACGATCAACAGACAGATCGAATGAGTAAATACTGATTTTGTCTCACGTGAGAAACCATCGTTACTCATTCGTGGGGGTGAAGCCCGTGCCGACATTCTGGTGTGACGACCAGCGGCTGCCCGTCCCGCCTTGCTGACCGGTCACTCTCAGGGGCTTGGCCAACTGGGCGATGGAGATAGAGAATGAGAGAAAAGGGCTAAAGCTTCCTAAAGAAGGCTCAAGGCCTACAACGCAGTTGCAACCACATGTCCAGCACATGTTTTTGTTTATGTTCTAGCCTCCTTTTGAAATTTTGAACCCATCATCTTGGCTTTCCTAAGACCAGTTTGCGCGCGTTGTCGGTGGACACCCGTCTTCTCCCCGTTGTTTTCCTCCGCATTCCTCGCTTTGAGCCACCTCACGGGTCCAAGGCCTGGTGCTTTGCACGCTTGGCCGTTCATGACGAGGCGCTTCTAGGCGCGCAGCCTCCGCCTCCATGCGCACCCTCGTGGCACTGAGAGATGGGAGGAAGTGTTAAGTCTCCCGTTCGAGGCTATGTCACCTGTAAGGTTTGTTGGTGGCCAGTCATTTGTGGCGAGCCTTAGAGGCCAAGCATGTTCAGCTCTAGTAACGAGAGGCTGGGGCGCACCTGCCAGAAGTTGCCATGCGCCATTTGGTGCATGCCATAAGCCGCGAAGATACACTCAATTTAGTTGCTTTCATGTGTTATCTCAGGAGGCCTTATTGTTCACAGTTCAGGCAAGTAATTACTATTTATAACTAATTATTAGTTATAGATAGATGATAGATCTGTTCATTTCATAGAAACCATCTCTCAACTGACATGTCTTTGCAAAGGAGGAATTGTGGTTGAGGGTTTGGGGAAAAACACACCTCAATCTTTGTGGTACTGGGTTGGTGTGTGTTTAGTGAGATGCGGGAAATTCAATCTATAATTGTGTCCTGTCCAACTCGACCAGTTTCACTTGAAGTTATACCCTATAGGGATCCTGACAAGCAATTCCTTTCTTTGGATTTGTGGCTGTAAGAACCAGAAAAAGATCCATTGGGCTTTCAGCACTGTTCTTGCTACAAACTCCCACAGCCAGTCGGAGGCGAGGCCGTGTCAAATAGGTCATCGCCAGCTGCAGCGTTTTGAGCCCACCAAAACCGCCAGAAACTGTTGGAAGGTTTGGAAGTGTGACGGACTCGTATCCCCCACCAGAATCGCAACCGCCAGCCAGGTGCCATCGGTGCCAGGGTCATGGCGACCATCGCAGGTGCGCCTCGCAGGTAGCTTCAGCTTTGATCCTCAGACCCCGACCGCGGGTCGCCGCGCTGTGGGATGCTCAAGGTCAGTCCAATCGTGCCCAGCCCCTTCCCACTTCATCGGTCATGGGCCGTCCGCTCCTTCCCTCAGACTGCGAGGATTGGACGAGCTGGGGCCCGATGCTCAGAGGGATGATGGTGGGATGGAGCGTAGGCGTCGGCGAACGGGCGGTTCTGGGGACCCTCATTTGGTGGCCGGTGTTGGATGGCATTGTTTTAAGGAGTTGGAATTGGATTGGATGGAATTGGATTGGATTGGAGTGGGACCGACTCCCTGGCTGCGCTGGGATCCTTGGGGTCGGTGTTCATGGCGGTTTGGACGACTGACTGCTTCTCCTCCAGTGGCGCCCTCAACATGGGACATGGGTTCCTTCTGTGCTTCCAGTATTTCTCGCAAAAATGCTGGATAGAGTCCCAGCACTGGACTAGTCCCACCGTCCTAGTGAGCTTCAGTCGGGCAAGGCCGCCACGATGGGTCCAGAACGCGGCCCTTTCCTGATGTTGCTATCTCGCGGGGGAGATGATTGCATTTTCCAATGCAGCTCAGCCCTCCACAACAAAATTATGTTGGTTGGCAAGCCCTGCATGCCATCCCCTGACAATTTCATATAACCACACATATCTTGAGGGGGAGTACACCTGACCAAGCGGGCGCCTCCATGTTTGCGGTTTACAGCTCAAAATCCCCCCAAACCGTCCGCGCCGTGCCCAAGCGTTGTGACGGCGTGTTTGCGCCATGGCGAAGACAGCATGCTTCAGCGACCATGGCTTTCCCAGGCAGGAGATGCCTCCCACAAACATGAATGAGCCAACTCTAGAGTGCATGCGAGCAGTTTGGTTGACCGAATGCAACCACTGAATTACAGACCAATATCACTCAATGTGATTCTGGAGTTTGGCAGGTTGGAATGCGCAAGAAACTGCGAGGATTCCTCCAACAAGATGCCATGAAACGTGTCGTTCTTTGAGGCTGAAAAACATGCGTTCATCAGTTCTCTTCGTTCACGACAGCGCTCCAGGCAGGGCCCTGCCCAGCCCTTGGACGAGGCCCATCCGGAGCGGAGGTCTGGGTGGGAATTCACACCCTCCGAGGCATCTCACAGAGACCCGAGACATCCGACAGCATGTCCAAACCATGCCATGTAAAATGGCAGGACTGCGTGGCCAATGGCCCTGGAGAGAGGGAGAGAGAGAGAGAGAGAGACAGTCATTTTCCTGCTCCAGGCGGACTTGGACTCAGAGATGGGCCCCTCCTTCGCAAGGCAGATCAGCCCCAATTGCCGACTGGTGGATTGCAAGGTGCCGTGGCTTGCGGACGCCAAAGGGGAACGTGGGACGTGGACGTGGGGAATGTGTGGTTCCCTGTGGTTTTCTTGGGGGGAATGTCTTGGTGGATCCTGTGGTGTCAAGATGCTTGGGAAGAGGGCTTTCCTATACCCAGACACTCCACATTTGCCATATATGCCTACATTGACCCCCAAAACCATCCCAATGTATAGGCATATATGACATGGAGTGTTTGGGATATAGTCAAGTGGATAACCTGATAACATGATACAGTAACATCCTTTAACCTTTTGGGGATTGGCTACCCCACTGAAATCCAACAGGTGTCAAAAGGGAGCGGATTGGTGCCCCAATGCCCGCACAATAAGAGCCAACAGGTGGAAAACACTATGTTAACTTGCATTTTCCAGGGAAACTGGGGAAGAATGCTTTGGTGATTAACGTGTTTGATTGTTTTGGCCGATGTTTAAGGATTTTTGCTAGCAGGCTGGTCACGGGGAAACAAGCATGCAGGGTCGTGCCATTTTTGTCACCGTTTGTTTCAACGATGACTTGCACAGAACTCATCCGAAAACACGTACTGTAGCTGAAGCGTCAGTGTGTCAGGAGAGGTGGGGCGGTTCCCTTGTGTTGATGTTCTTTCATCCTGGCGACAGGTGAATGGCGGGGAGTGAGAGAGGTCAGCCGGTCTCACTCCGTGAATCTTCCTCACCGGCCTTGGTTCAGGCAAGAATCACCCTGCCATGCGCCGGTTTTACACTTGGACAGGGACTGATCCGCCTCCGCAGCTCGGATCAGGTGCCGAGTCCCACGTGCGCGGACCCACCGGACGACACGCGCCTGGAGTTCAAGGACTTCAAGCGCGAGGCCCGGACCTTGGCCGAAGCACCTCGGTGGGCCAAGCGTGCAGGACCGGAGGACCGGTGCAGCAGACCGGAGGACCGGTGCGGTTCACGGGAGGTTTGGGCGAGCCACCCCGCTGATTCGTGACCAAAAGTAAGTGACATCGTCAAAACAACAACATAAAACCACCGTTGAACCTTTGGCATAATTGCATCGGAGAGTTTCAGATTCTTGGGGAAGCCGATGAACGTTGGTCCGTGGGACCTGGAGCAGGACAACGCTTTCTTGATGATTGACGGGCTCTCAAATTTGGGCAGCCTGTGCAATTCGTAGCGCAGAGTTTTGCATTTCCACACTCAGGTGTTTTCCACGCCCAGTTTGGTGCGCATGTTATTAGAACCTGTCATGATTCCGGATTGTATGACCACCTGGTTTTGTACCGCATATAGCCACTTCATCACGCATGATCACGCATGTGGGGGGTTAAGGCTTCATGCCATGTGTTCGCGGGAGTGTATGTCAATACCACCCCTACCAACCTAGTTTATAGAATTTTTAAGTTTAACCTCCTGACCTTGTCAGGCCTGGCAATCAAATGTCCATTTACATTACCCAGCCAGGTCTTTCAAGGGACCAGCTTCATGCAACACTCTCCACTCCTCCGCTCTCATCCGAGGAGTTCTTTTGCTCCCAGGACGTGGAGGGGATGGTGGCTTCCGTGAAAGGCGGGGAGATGGTGGCGCCCCCAGGTTCGAGATTCAATCTGTTTCTCTGGGCCCCTTGGCGGGGGAAGGATGGTCGAAGATGAGTCACCATCCATCCACCATCCAAAGTGATGTTAATTCCAAATGGTGGATGGTGCAAAGACAGGATAGCAGGAGGCTGGATGGATTGCTTCGGGGGATTGGGGTTGTTGGACTTGGAGTATGTCAGTGATGGGTTCCAGGATGGTCGAGAATGTGTGGACTCCCAGCTGGTCGGGTGGAGGATCCCAGTGGCAAGCATGTGGCAACTGAATCCAAGGCACAAGAAGCAAGGCATCAGACAACACTCCTCTAAGGTGCTCTTGTTTGACGACTTCTCTACTGCGGGTCGTAAATACATAGAAGAGATGCCAGAGCATCAGACCGTGCTCAAAGTTGACCAACAGCATCTCCCGTTGTGAGTGTTGTGACCATTTGTGACCCAAAATTTCACATCGACCCTTTCAGGTCCACGATTTTCCTCATCCCAAAGCGTGCAGGCTTGGGATGCTTGCCCTTCCATGATGAGCTTGCAGCCTTACTTCTGAGAGCCTCGCTGGACCAGAAGGATGCCACTAGACAATCCGTCATCCCGTGCCCTGGAAGAACCCGAGACCAGACGAACGGTCAACCGGTCCACCGGTCCACCGGCGAGAGAATGGAGTTACATGCAGTGCTTTTTCGGAATGAAAGAGCCTGGAAGGGCAAGCGCCCGTGGCGCCACAGCTTAGATTGAAGGTTTTAGCAGTCAAGTGATGAGTTTGTTGGGATATCATCCGTACACCTGGTCAAACCCGTCAGACCCGAAATGTTGGAGAGAGAGGCATGGCCAGGGCCATTGCCCATGACAGACCCAGTCAGCAACAAGCATATTCGCCAGCCGCCAGCTCTGGAAGACAGGCACAGGAAGCTTGTTTACTGTAAGTATTTTAAGCACTGTATGCACCTAACCCACTAACCTGGAAATCCGTACTGTACCGCTGATATGTCCCCAGCGTACCGTACTATGAACGCGTACCCCCCAAATATATGTCATCCTGAACTGGATTGTGCATTGCCATTGAATTTAAGATAACGCAGTTATATAAGTAGTTTTTTCCGCTCTGATATTGAGCCCGTTCTGGCCTTTTCCATTTGGGTGTTTTTACTTCGATTCTATCAGTTCTACATTCTGGCATATACAACATCATTCAACAGCCTGAAGCCAGCATCAAAAAGCAGCCTTTTTAGTGACCAGAAAAGGTGTCTTTTACAAGCTCTGAACAGAGTCATAGATACTAGACCATTGGCGAGCACACCTCGGGGCGCTGGGACTATGGTCAAACAAACATCATCAGCCATTCCCAAGCATGTGATCTCATTTGAATACCAAAAGTAGCAATCAATCATCCAAGGGTGTGTGGACACCTGATATGTGCCACATCAGAAGCTGCAACTGGATCCATGACCTTCCCGGTGTTTGACCCAGAAAAGGTCCGAAGAAAACAGGTGAGAAAAGCTTGGAAGTTTGTCGCAGCTAAGGTCGACATGTCCAAGTGGTGGGATGTGACACCTGAAGTTTCCCGTTTTTTCCGAAGCCTTCAGGCTTCAGGACCCTCCAAACCTGCATCAGAGTGTCTCCCATCACCTTCTCAGAAGGTATGTAGATCCATAGGGAATTGGCATTGGCTAAGACATCGGGCTCCGAAGCTTTTGGACTGCGGAGGGCGCCAAACCAGGAGAGTTCCTCCCCGAGCGAAGCTTCGAAGCTGCACATGCGTCCCCCTCCTGTGGTGCCGGACATGCAACATTAGACTGTAATTTAACAAGTATGTTGTAACATCTATTCTGACAGTACATTTACATCCATATAAAGGATCACCCCGTTTTCGCCATGAAAATTCTTAGCCGGTTTCATTCACCGAGCGACGCCGAGGGAGGGAGTTCCCCCGACCCTTGCGACAGGCTCTTGCTGACGCTCCATGAGAATGAGCTGCTCTCCACGGCCCAGTTGGCCCGTGGCTTCGAAAAGCCGCTTGGAAAACGGCGCGTCGCGAACGAACAGCTGGCCATCAAACCTTCCCCAGGTGAATTTTGAGCCGCTGTTGGATGAGGGATTGGCATGTTAGGATGGAGGGGATCCTTATGAGACAATAACATTGTGGAAGCCCACTACTAGAACCTATTAGAAACATGTCGGTTGAGGATGGACCAGCTAAAGACCTGCAAGAACGGAAACGAGAGACGCTACATGGGGAACCTGAAGTGTTTGATTGGCCCCATCCCATTTCCCAGGAGTCTGTAGATGAACCTGTTTTCTTCATGCTTCTGCTTTTTCAACGGCTGCAGTTCCTGATCCAGTAAAAGGGAAGATCTCCACTCTACCGGGTTCCTGTGCCACCACCGGGCACGGAGCGAAGGCTGGTTTTATCCTGGGAGGATTTGCAACTGGATGTTCCTGGAGCCCCAGGCCTCTTGGATGGCGGTTTCCACGTGAATCCGCTGGCAAAAGGTGGTGGATGTAAGTCTAAGTGGCTAAAGTCACTGGGTTTTAGTACTTTTTCCTCCTGCAGCAAGAAATAGACTTGGTGGCATGTTTTGAGTCCGGTCGGATTTTTGAGCCACACTTATGGTGAATGTGAAGATCATCAGGTAGATCCTACAATTGGTGAACATGTACAGGAAAGCAGGGTTTTCACCTGCAAAACTGGGTCTTTCCTGTGGATTCTCCCTTATAAACATAAATACACACCAACAAGCACCGGAGTGCAAGGAAGGAGAGCTCGCACAGCTATCGTCAATCCTTTAACCATGCACTTCTAGGAGTTCTTTTTTCAGTAGAACCCATTCTGGTCTTTGAGCTCCGCCGTTCCACTGGTGAAACGCCCACTTCGGATCGACCCTTCGACATTTTTCGTCGGCGCTGGCTGCCGTGGTCGGCGAAGCCCTGTCCATGTTGGCAGTGACCTTTTTGTTCCTACTGGGCAGCGGCGCAGCTGCCCTGCCTTCTTCCAAATCGCCTTGAAGTAGCAGTGACTGAGCATTTGATGTAGAGTAGTTTGAGTGGCAGTGATTGATGATGTTTAGGTCACGCAAAGAAGATAGAGAAATATGTGATTCTGACGATTGAATTGAATTCATTTCCCCTTGCGCCATCATGGCGACCTTTTGTTGGAGGGGTGACAGCGGCTGAATTAGACCCTGGGACGCGGTTGCTTGTAGACCCTAGTTTAAGGTTCTGTTTGCGGTGCCGCGATGTCGGTGTGAACGTGCCAAGCACAAGGGGTCCTTTTGCGGTGGTATGGCCCAGTATCGAACATAGATACTGCAACACACAGCGACCATGCGAGAGATAGGCACAGACAGGCAGGTGCATCACACGCTAAAGACAAGTAAATCTACAGTGGTTTCAGAGTAGATGGCGCAGACCTCAAGATGTCCTTTACATGGGGTTCATATAAACCACCAAACTTGGGGTTTGTGCCATTGGTCCTCTCAATCCACAATAACCCCCCCCTGTCACATCGATCGAAGATGCTCCGGCGCAAGGGCTCTTGGTCTCTTTGCTCTCCTCCCGCGTGGGGCTTTTCGAGTCTCGGCACTCTAGGGCGGCACGTGGGACTGTTCTTTGAATATTGGGTGTTCACGTGTGCTCATTGTGTTCACACATTTCCAGATGGATTGTCTCAAGGCTTGAGGGGAGCCTTTTTTTGGGGGAACCTAGTTTGAACCACTGATAAACTTGCATTTGATGCGTACATTTTGTGGCACATGCTGCAGTTTGCAGCTGCATGTGTCCTTCCAATATGTTCAGCAAGTTCCTGCCCACCAAAGGCCCATTTCACCGGCTTCACCCCTACATAACCTCAAGAACGCCGCAGCGTTCTTGAGCCAAAGAACTCGCCTCTCGTGCCATGGACGACGAAGAGGAAGGGGATGAAGACTGGCGCTACGGCCCCCTTGGCCGTGCCGGCGTCCTCAAGGACGCGGAGCCCGTCCCTCCGGAGCCCGCGGAAAGCAAGTCAGAAGCCAGTCAGAAGCCGCTGCGGTGTGGCGAGGAGCGGAGTGGAGTGAGTGGAGTGGGGTGAAAGGTGTCCTCATCCAAATTAATTATGTTTTGTACTGTACTATTACAGTACTCCCCGAAGACATCCCAAGGCCATGCTATGGTTCATAAGGTTCACTTTGTAGTTTGGTCGCTTACCGTCACAAGCCCGAGCGAAAACAAAACAAGTGGTTTCATATATATATAATAGAATTAGCACCATACATCACATACATCACTACACCAATAGCACCAAAGCACTGTGGTACCGTATACATAAGAGGTGCTTGGCATGCCATGAGGCCCTTCTTCGTACCCTCCATGTCAACGCATCCACTCTTCAGTCTTGAGCTCTCTGGCTTCGCACGGCAGGTGAATCCGCGGACAATCTGGGCGTACTGGGCACAGGGGCACGAGCAGATGCCGGAGTTCCCTGAAACGGGCTTCAGGATGTTTCAGGTCAGACTGCGCACGTTTTACCTATACATATTATACATGCAAATACCGGTTGCCACATACGGGTGCCATACCTTTTTCTGTGTGTTATTATAGAAGTACATATATTTAACAAAAACAACATATAATAACAATTAATTTAATATATATATATATATTCATGCTGAGAGAGAGAGAGAATGCGAGAGAGATAAAGAGAGACATATGTATAGTGTCTACACACATGACGACTGAGTTGAATCCTTCGTACCCAGAATTGCATCTACAGTCTACTTTTGCTCGGGGGCTTGGGAGGGATTTTCCTTTTTTGCCCCTCCATTTCTTGGTGGCGCTTGGTGTTGGGGTTTGTTCCGTGTTGGTGGCGCTCCTGGTGGAGATGACTTGGACTTTGGAGGACTCTGGGAGGGTGGCGCAACAATTCGTCACAATGATTGACAAATCTTGAAAGAAACATTTCATCGCCACCGTCGACACCCCTGATCATCCTGTCCAAGGGTTATCATACATGGCTTGGATAAATGTCAAGCCAGGCCATTGCTGGAAAGGAATCCTTTCCGACTTGCACCTCCTGTTCACAAGGCAGGTCATGTACTCCAACAGTGGATCATATTTTCCTTTCCACCTTGCCAGCCTGATCATGACTTTGAGCAAGAGCTGCCTGCCCGTTCTAGAACCCCCGACAGCAACGGCCCGGGATTAAAACCATTCGAACCTTACTATACCTCAGGAAGAGGATCGTCAAAACTAGATGGCACGTTGCAGATGTCCTTGCTAAGCCCTACAGGAAGACCTGCATTTGGTGTATGGCTTCCACAGAGCTTCCCTACAGATTCTCCGGCATTCGACGGTCTGCACTTCACGGGGGGTCCGGGCCCATCCGGTGGCCCAGGTTCTTCCGCCTTTGTGTGAACACCTGGCAGCGCACCAATCCCCATTGGGATGTGAGGATCCTCCAGCACCTCGAAAAGAGATCCTATTTGGGGTGTGGAGTCACATGGAGTCCTGTGACTGTGATCCTGCAGTGAACTTGTTCCTATAGTTTTGGTTGAACGATTCTAACGGGATAGTAGGTTTGTTTTCCCCACATGACCCTGCCTATGGGTGAACGCCCTAACCCGGAGGTTTCGCTCCAAGGCCCTTCGGTTTTGACTTGGAAAATGGCGGCCTTTTTTCATCGCCGACGTAGCTTAGGGAAGATGGAGTGCCGGAAGGAGCCATCCGGAATGAGCTTCCATCCTTTCCTTGATCATCCGTCAGAAGATAGATCCATTATCATCCGGAATGGAGATCCTTTATCATCCAGGGATCCATTCTTTGATTTTCGGTGCTCCATCCGGAATGAACCATGGGTTGGACCGAATCACCTCGGGGTGGAGAGGTGCTTGAGGCGCTCGGTGGAGCAGGTAGACTCGGAAAAGAGTTGGAAAATGGATCATCCTACTCCTTGTTATGATTGAACCTCTCTTCGTATATGGGGGGGCTGAAATAGAACCAAGCAAGAGTCTTCATTGCTTCATATTCACTAGAGCTATTGCTTACTCCATGCCATATAGTATCTATTGGGTGCTGGTGCGCACTGCATGACGGGCACAAGACCAACACGATCAACAAGACTCAACATCACGACACAGAAGTGGGGTTGTCCAAAAAAACCTTTGCATGGACCTTGCCTTGAGGAACTTTCGAGGGGAAAGGGAGCTTGCAGCACAAATGCAATGACACATATAGACCCCCAAATAACTAGATAGAAAAGCAGATCCCCGCTAAGAATGTATTGGAAGCCGTTCCATCTATTTGGGGACCACTGTAAATGTCCTTGTGTTCAATGGGTGGGTCAATTGGTCTTTAAGCTGATAAGGTACCACTACACACACCCCAGGTCACCCACAAAAAAAATAGACGGTGATTGAATCTTCCAGGGAATTCCTCCAATTGGTCATGCGGTCTCCTCCCCATCGACCGCCACCGAACCCAAAAAGGCTGGTAGGCAAACATGTTCCAGGCCGTGCCCCCCCCAAAAAAAAAACGAGCAGAGAGCTAAGAAAGAAGCTAGGAGCATCGCTACTAGGAGCAAGGACGCTACTAGGGGGCTCCTGGCCTTACTTCTAGTAGCAAGAAGCTGGGTAGCACCACCTTCATCCGACCAGCGTCCGGAACGAACGGCCATGCGCCCCAGGAAGTCAACGGTCTTGGAATACCTCTTAGAAGAGGAGCTGCCCAATCGCTTCTTTGAGCCGTGGCGCCAGCAGTTGGGTTTAGGGTTGCGCACAATGAGTATTAGAAGTATGAATTCAAAGGTACAAAGAAAGGTACACGTTGTCCCTGTTGGAACTTTTCTTTCTTGGAGGATGTTCTTCCTTAAACATGTTTATATAGTATTTTTTTGTGGCCTTGAGTCTACTATAAATTAAATCTTTTTGGCAGTCCCAAAGCCAATTCTTTCCCATATAAGATGCCTAATTTATTGAGTTCCCAGTCTTGTTTTGGGATTCTTCTCGATCGACACGATCCACCCAAGAATCACAGATCCTTTTGCAAATGGTCGAAATACCCTAGGGATCCAAGTGCCTTCTCAGAAGGTGATTGGAGCACTGTTATGTAGGTTTTGAGGGTCTAAGTACCTTCTGAGAAGGTACTTGGATCCCTAGGGATACAATAGGTGAATCTCCGGAGAACATGTTTTAGAAATAATGAAGGCCTCCCACGGGGTGACTTCCTTCAATCTTGCCATGAATGAATCCGGATGGGAGATGAGAACCCATGCCAGCACCCACGCCGTGGTTTCATGGACACCCCCTTAATGTAAGCCAGACTCTCAGAAACCACCCCGACACACCCCGGTGTGCCTTGGTGTTTGTACCGTAGAAACCATTCGCGCCGGGCAACTCACGGTCCGCACTCAGGACATGACGTCGCATCAGACTGCCTCCGATGCGGTCCGCCTCGGAGTTCTCAGTCGCTATGGCGGCGTTTGGCTTGATGTTGCTCGCCTTGATATTGGTGCTTGTGCGAGGTGGACGGATTCTGCAATGACAGCAAGCTAGTAAGAACAAAGTTCATAAATCATTACATTTAGAAGTGCCTTGGCAATCTCAAAGCTTTTTATTGCAAATGGTGATCTCAGACTTGCGTCATGGGGAATCGCGGCTTCTAATTTCATTTGCCCGTGCCCGCCGTCGGCCTATGGGAATGTCTCCTATGGCAGGCCCCTAGGCCACCCCTAGTTTTACCTCTCAGGCCAGCTCTGCCAAAACCGCCGCACTTCTTCCGGTGCCCGTTGCTTTGGTCGGCGGATCGACTCCGCCGCCGTCGCCCCGTCGCCGAGCTCGGCGTCGAGGTGAATATCTTGCTCTGTGGCTCGCTGGATCGACTTTGCTGGAACGCCATCCGTCATGGGACGCCGGCCTGCGTGTTCTTCCACCCCTCCTACGGCACCGAAGCGCTCGGAGGCGGCTGTTGGCTGTTGTTTGGGGGGAAACGATGCCAGAAAAATTCGAGGCGTCCTCGGACGCAGTGGGGTCGAGGGATCAAAAGAACAATCCGGGGGTCGAGGGATCAAAAGAACACATGGAGATTGGGGGTTATATGCTTATCATATCTTATCATGTGTGTTTGAGGATGCCATCATCTAGTGGATGTTTTTACATATATACTGTATACCTTCATGTGCCACCGATGTTCCAGATCACCTGTTCCAGATGTCACCTGATGAGGGTAAGTATGAGGGTTCCGTGTGCAAGAGGTTCGGTGTGCCTTCTTCAGTTGTTGGTCCCTACGTGTCGAAAGTTCCTTGCACATCCGTCGTGGATGTGTCATCGATGGTGGGTAAAGAGCCGCTTTTACATGGGCATTAAGAACTTTCTTTTAGCCCCTTCGAAGGCTGGTGATTTGTCAAGTAACTATGTGACTTTCCCAGTTTCAAGACGATTCCCAGTTTCAAGACGGTTGAGTTGACTCATTCTCGAGGCCAAGACTTTGTGGAGAGCTGGTGCTTGGCAACTAAGCCAGAGAACCCCTTCTTCATGCGATGGAGGGAGATATTCAAGGAGCTTTTTCAGGATCCTGGTCCGACTTTGGGTGTTTGGGATGGCGAAGGAGCTTGGTGAAACGCACGAAAAATGTGGGGAGGGTTGGCCTCGGGCTGAGTTCTTCAGCAACCAATTCGCTGAAATGGGCAGGATTTGTGGAGATGTGTCTTTCAAATTCAAATCCGCGGAGTCCTTCCCGTGGAATGTGTGCCCCCCATGTCCTAGTTTCTGATAGCTTTCAAGCATTCTTGACAAACCTTTGGAGAGTCAGTTGCCTCTTTGAGTCCTTAGGTGGTTCTCTCTGATACCGTCCATGCGCTTTTGAGCTTAGGATCGTTTGGGCATCGACGGCTTGTTGAAGCACCGCCTCTACAAAGGTTTCTTGGTGCTCAGTCGTGTCGGCTTGGTCACAGGGAAGTTCCCGCAAGAAGGGTGGCGTGGCGGACAGCAGCTGCTGGTGTTCCGGACAGGCGCAGCTGCTGGTGTAACTTATGCAGTCTCGCACCTACAGAGCATCTAAAGAGAACTGATTTGACGTCTGTTTTGATGGGAAAGGATCATGGTTTTAGCTCTTACAGCAGGTGTCACTGGGGTTCTTGGTGCAATCCTATCAGTGCCCCTTTCACTACACTCTGAGACACTAACATTCACTAAAGTGGAAGTGGGACATTGACCCTGGGATGACTCTTTTCCTTTAGGAGCAAGAGAAGTTTCCATTTCCATGTGATGTGTTCGGACGGAGTGCACCTGGTCGATTCCCTTTTCGTGGCCAAAGCTGGTCACTACCCTCTCACTAGTACGGGCATTCCGATCCATCGGGAGTCCGTTTAAAAAATGCATGTATATACATGATACCAACAATGTATGTATATATATATATATATGTTCTTCTATTCTTCCACATCCTCTTGCCCACTGGGTGGCGAAACTCCCATCCTCATTGCGTTCAGTTTCAGGTTTGGACCTCTCAGGCTTTGAGAAGCTGAACCGAGACTTCCAGGGCTCCGGCATGGAGTCACCTGATGCAGGGGGTCTGCACCTGGTCAGGGTGGCCATTGAGATCGACATGAGGACGACATGGGGTGCTGGCATCGCTACTAGGAGGGTGGGCAGGTCACTCAGCAAGGCAGGGCGCGAGCACCCTTTTGAGCTGGCGGAGGAACCCGCCGAGAAAGGTCGAGGTCATCAAAGATGTGCAACATGTTCCAATATATACCCTGGGATTTGTTTTCCCACTTGACGTGCAATTGTTTTACTAAGGAGCTTGGGCTACAAAAACCAAAGAATTGCTGGGGGGTCACTGTAAAATTGTTAAGACACATGGAAGAAGTGAAACACTTCAAGAAGTAGACTCACTTGAATACATATGGAAGAAGTGAATGAAGCAGACGCAGGTTTGTGGAGCAAGAGGAGTCTTCCAGGTACCTCCCCTCATCGTCTATTTGTTTGGTTCCACTTAGGAGGGCATTTGCATCATACTACACAAGATTACACAAGCTATGAGCAATTTGTCATCATATGTACAGCAGATCTGAGTGATAGCTGATAGATCCCTTCGCTCAACCCAAATGTTCGTGCCTTTGATCCAAACTCTTTATCTACTTTCCTTTATGTCCTGCTGGGTGCTGGCGTGGCCGCCCAGCCCGCCTCTTGAGGTTCCGGGAATATTTGGCGATCCACGCCATGTGCCACCGGCTGCTGGAAACCGACCCTGAGAGCCGCCGTGCCTGGCGCGACGACTTCCTCAAGGTCAATGCTGCTGACACTGCCTTTCGCCTGCAGATGGTGGCGCAAGCCAGTGACATGCACATGGCACAGGCGCGGAATGGAAAGAGGTGGAAAGTGGGTGGAACTGGGTGAGAGGAATGGAGGATATATGACGAAGTGACATTGGGAGTTGGTGAATCTTGAGGGTAAGGGGAAGACCGACTGAGTAGGAGACATAATAAAGGTATCCTGTATACTGTTTGGAATGCAGATGTTTGTATAGATAAGAGGCGTGGATTCACGTGCCATTGCCATCGTCATTTACAGTTTGCCCCGGCTGTAACTTAAGTGAAAAAGCCGACCGTGCCAGCACGTCTCTTATCATCCGCAATTCACTAGATGCCGCCAAAGATTCTGCCCTCTACTCAGCTCTAATCATTTGTAAATCATGTCATACCTCCAAGCATTGCCACTGGCCCAAGGTGATTGTCACACTTACTTACTGTAAGGATGACATACCTCTACTCAGCTCATACCTCATTTGTATTTCCACAGGCCCAAGGTGATTGTCACACATCAACCGCCATTTCCACAGGTCTTGCTGCTGGAGGACACTCGTGCCGAGCAGCTCATCGAAGGGGTGCCGCTCATCAAGTTCCGGACGCCGGACTATGGTGACACGGCGTGTGAGGATATGGAGCTTGGGAGGGGACGAAGAAAGTCTCGAAACTTTCTGGATGGATATGGATATATATATATATATATATGATATGGATATAGATATGATATGGACATGAACATGGACATGGAAATGGATGGATGGATGGATGGATGGAGCGTTTCTCCAAATCAGCTTCCCCGCCAGGAGTCCTTCAGATTCGGACAGCTTTCGGCTTGCAACCCTCGAACATTTTGCCAACTCAGCTGGACTCTCTGATTTCCATCCATCCAAAGGTGTCCAATTCAATAGACTAGCCCTGCCGGCTTCCCTTATAAGCACCCCCCTTGGTCCATTTGGTCCATTGAATGGTCTTCTTAGGCACCCAAGGCCCATTGAGTTGCCACTCAACTGCTGCAGCTCTGATATGAGGCCCCTTGCTGCAGCTTTCCACTGCTCAACTCACAGATCGACGCCACTTGCTGGGACGCTTACTGGATCCGGCGCCCCGCGCCGGCGCGCGCGCTGTACGCGCACCACAGAGGGTGACTTGGAGCTGAGGGCATAGCGTTATCAGGGTTGACCTCAGGTGGCACGAATTGAGGGTTCTAAGAGAATGTCCTGGCAGATGATTTTGGTTGTCTAATTGTTTATATATTATCCAGACCAGTTTGGCCACTGCAGCTCCAACAAGTCCCTAGCTTCCAAGGAGGTGACATGTCATTTTCAGGCTAAACAAGTACAAAATTGCATGCGTGTTCCGCGACACGAGGTCAGCATGAGCTTCATGGGTGGCGCCCGACGCTTCACGGCGGCGGCCACCGTGGCGGCCATCCTTTGTCGCGGTGCCCGTGCACAGTCTCCGCTGGGCCCAAGCCTGCCGAAGTTGCGGCCGGTGGAGTTACGGCCGGTGGGTCACTGGGCAAGGGAAAGACTGAAGGACAAGACTGATCTAGCTTGGGCACATCTTGGCGTCCTGGCATTACAACATAATACAACATAATACATCATAATGCATCATAGTGCACACTTGGAATCGCAGCTTAGCAGCTTAACCCCTTAGTGGTTCCAAAGGTCAGACTCATCCCAACACCCTTTGGGAACGACTACTGGCAGCCTCGATGCGATGCATCGAGCGAAACCTAACGACCGTCGAAGCAGCGCACTCTTCAGGTTTGGCTTCAAGAGGTGAGCCACACACCTATTGACCGTCCGACTGACGGCCTAGTCAACCAGACCCATAGATGGATATCCTCGCGGTTTCACTATAGGGATGTCGGATGTCTTATGATTTCTTACCGAACCAATGGGGCAGCTGACAGGCTCAACAGCCTGGACGGCCTCCGGCCCAAAAATCAGGAGATGTGGACCGATTTCCCGATGTTTCCCAGAAGGAAATGTTGGAACACCAAATGGAACATACCCATTCTCCGATTTGGACACCTTCCACTCCACAGTTTCATCCCACCCCCAGGTCGGATGGGCTCGGCGACCGCCAGGGCGCGCGCCACGCCTGTGCCGTGCTCGCTGCGCCGGTGAGTGGCGAAGAACCGGACGCGGAAAACCGAGCGGAACCGCAGAAAAGACGCGCGCGATGCGGGGCGTCGCACGGAGCGATGGAGAGCGAGCGAGTCGGTGCTGGTGGTGACACATAGACCTTATAGGTTGGTTTTGAGCACTTTCCAGTAGCAAGGGGCCTTTCGATCAGTGCTTGAGGAACTGACCCAGGTTGGGAACAGCTGTACGTGATAGCTGCAAAACAAGAAGTTTTTTTCGGGTAAGACTTGCGGCACTGTTTCAGACGCCCCAAAGTATACAGAGGCAAAGGTATCAAGGTATTTTGGTCGTGTACGAGGGGTTTCCACTTCTGAAGGGGCTCCAAATACCCGTGAAGGCGGATTCTCACGAGAGAGTTGCAGATGTAGCACTTGCTAGCATCCTGACAAATGAATTCTTTGGATAGTTGTTTTTGTTGGCTCAGTGCCTTAATGGACCCTGGAGTGCAGACCGCTACCTTAAGAAGAACATCGGCTTTTCAAGAGCTGGTTCCGCTCCCAGGTTTGGTGAACCACAGACGCTCTGTGAAACGCTCGGGGCATGGCTTCGTGTCAGGATAAGAGCCTCTTTGCTCGGCTGCCGGAAGATTTGTTGGCCAAGGTGGTCTCTTGGATTCCAGGGCCATCCAGGGCCATCGGGAAAAGGGGAAGTTCCATCGCTGGTTTAAAGGTCCAAGAGGGATCCGAAAGGCCCTACAAAGAATCCGGAGGCCGAATCTGGCAAAGACGGTTTTTCTGCTTGGTGCTTTCATTGACTTTTGTGCTGCTTTGTGTTTTTCGACCCTGTTTGGGAATGACTGACCAATAGTTGTGGGAAGGGTTTAAACCGGCACCATCCAGTTTCCATTTTAATAAACAACGGGCTGTGTGGTGAAGCACGCGTCATGGGCAAGCGTCTGACACTAGATGCGTAAAATCCATACTCACTCTGGTATCCCAAACCTTGTTGCCAAAAAAGAGCAGAAACTGCAGAACTGCTCTTGGATTGTGTGTCGATTTTTGGAAGGCCACCTACTGGATGCAAATGTGAATGGACGGATTCGTTTTAAGACCATTTAGATGCCCTTGGACTTCGCACCGGTTTGAGGATGTTTTGGCGGTGAAGAGTACGTAGGCCTGCCAAAGCTAGACATGTGGACGGTCGACTGTAAGCAGCTGTGACCATCACGGCTCAGGCGGTCAAGGCGTTTCGTGAGGCCACCAGGCCTGCTACTATCAGGTTTCGAAAGTGAGGCATGGTTTCCCCAGGTGAGCCAAGAGGCTTGATGAACACGTCTCAACTCTAGACATCTTGATGGTCCAAGCATGACGTTTCTGTGGACCTCTGCGCCCAGTATCGATCGGTGGTCAAGCAGGGTCCCCCCGAGACCATGACCCACACCCAGCCACACCCAGCCACACCGGCCACTCCGGCCACGCCTCGCTACGCCAAACACCTGCCACCGGACCGCAGTAGGCAGCGCACCCCGGGGCCCTCCGACCGAAAAAACCCACGGCCTCAACGGCTGCACAGCCCTCTACCAGGGCTCCCGGGAAACGGGGTGGGGTGTCGAATCATGGACCCGTAGAGGTTGAGGGGTGTCCATTTGACCATTTAGACAAACCGTTATATAACGATCAATTTGGTGGCTAACCATTTGTCACTAACTTGGTCCATTGAATTCCATTTACCATCATTAACCACTCCTTGTGGGCCCTTTTACAGATGCCTGCAGAGCATTCAGCATATCGCCAGCTGTTTTTGTTGGGTGCCCTCTTCCATCTCCCCAAAGGTGGGGGGGGGCCCTGATAGACTATATATGGTACCCTTAGCAGGCGAACCTGCGAGGGCGGACTCCGAGCAACTGCCGAGGTCGAGGATCTCCCCAGCAACCTGGCGCAGCGCACCATTCAGACGCACCTTTCAGAGCTCACAGTGCTTTCGGCGAATTCCTGCGGGACGGGTTATGACGGGTTTAATGGGTCTGATGGGGGGGATGAGGTCGAGCTGGTGAAGAAGCAGATGAAATGCATTGACATGCTGGATTTCACCAGGAGATTTGGTGCAGCAAAAGCGCGCATCAAAGCCTAAAGTGCCCTTAATATCCCCCAGTCAGTGTTCCAAATGGAAAGTTCAGCCCTCGTTCATCCTTGTTTGGGGTTCTTGTTTTGGGCGTTCCTCACCCCAGAACCCCACCTGCGCACAGCGGCCCAACATGAGCGTGCGATCGATGCCCAGCTGCCCAGCTTCCAGCCCAAAAGCACGGAATGTCTTGAACTTGCTTTCTGAAGGGTGCGTCAAACTGGTCCGGATAACGATTCTTTAAGCCTCCTTATTGTTTGTGCTGTGAAGTACATTCGAGCTGGCTTCCATATATCACGAAAGGTAGCCCTTTGGGGGATACCTTGAGTTTGTCTTGCGAAGCAAGTGTTGGGACGTCCGGGTCTAATAATTGATCGCTCAATTCAGACACCCCCCCC